AGTTTGGTAACGAACAATGCCTTTTCCAGCATGATGGAGCACCTTGCCATAAGGCAAAAGTGATAACTAAGTGGCTCGGGGACCAAAACATCAACATTTTGGGTCCATGGCCAGGAAACTCCCCAGACCTTAATCCCATTGAGAACTTGTGGTCAATCCTCAAGAGGCGGGTGGACAAACAAAAACCCACAAATTCTGACAAACTCCAAGCATTGATTACGCAAGAATGGACTGCCATCAGTCAGGATGTGGCCCAGAAGTTAATTGACAGCATGCCAGGGCGGATTGCAGAGGTCTTGAAAAAGAAGGGTCAACACTGCAAATATTGACTCTTTGCGCAAACTTAATGTAATTGTCAATAAAAGCCTTTGACACTTATGGAATGCTTGTAATTATACTTCAGTATACCATAGTAACATCTGACAAAAATATCTAAAAACACTGAAGCAGCAAACTTTGTGAAGACCAATACTTGTGTCATTCTCAAAACTTTTGACCACGACTGTACACTGCTGCTACTCTGTTTATCATATATCCTGATGGCTAGCCACCTTACCCCTATACATATATACCCCTACCACTCCAGTATCCTTGCACATTGTATTCTGTATATGGTATTGGCTCTGACCCTGTACATAGTTTACTTACTTTCTCATGTTCTTCTTATTTCTATTTCTCATGTGTTTTTTTTCTACCTTACTTCATTTTATAGTACTACTTGGTAGAGCTTGCAAGAAAGGCATTTCACTGTACTTGTGCACGTGACAGTAAAACTTGAAACTTGAAACAGTTTTTGTTTCTTAGAACGCTATTATATGATACAATATCAGTACTCGTTGCATTTACAACTTGTCTAAGTCCTATCATCAACTGATTTCAGACAGTGTATGGATGTGTATTGACTGCATTGTTTGAATGGAATTTGAAAAATTAATGGAATCATTTCTCGAAAACTGTCTGGCTAGCTAGCTAACAAACATACAGTGCAGAAACATTCTTCAAATCCATTAATTTTACACAATATCTTATCACTCCCTGACCAAAATGGCAGACTTTTATCCCATCATGAGAAGATTCATATCCATTCTAGTATTCTAATTCCTAATTCTATGCCTATTGTTCTGAATGGTTACCCGCACACTGCCAGAGATAAAATCATATGTTAACGCTATTATTTGTCACTCGTCCTCCTGTGTACACCATTATGGCATCATACTTGTATTACTTACTACTTTATCAACATGTAATCTATCAGTTTCCATGGTAACTGTGTTTTAACTTGGGTAATGATTCTTTCAAATGAATTACAATGCTTTCAAATGAATCACAGAGTGTAATGATGAACTTTAAAACATGATGATGACTGATATGAAGATAAATGTGTAATTCGAAACAACCTGTGGGAATTAACCCAATTTACATACTTGATGGAGATAACAAAGAAACAGCCCCTTATAATACATTTTCGGAAATTTTATGTCTAACAACAAGGCATTTATTACTGTCATTGTCAAGGTTATGTAAGCTGAAGACTGATATTTATTTTGTTGAAAGAACAACAGCTAAAAAGCCTTGACACGCTCATTGTTTATTTTAAAAGTTGTTGCCCCGTAGTGCCATATTAATGTACTAACACAATGTCTTCTTTTAAAAATAATGTCTTAAAATTAAACAACCTTTTCAAAACGATGTTTTTTCCATCAGAATGTATGTATTGATAGATGCAAAAAATAAATTAACCACAGAACTGGAATTAAAGATACATAGTCTTTAATCCTAACCAGAATCAAACCACAACCCAGATGATCTCACACATCACCCACCATCACTTGCTAAATACTGACACCCCCTGTTGACAGACCCCATTTTGTAATTCCTGTGAGGCTAACACCCATTCACAGAGTGTATGTGCCTGCATGTATATTTGTAGGCTGTATGTCTATATGCAGGCTATGATGAAGTGAAAATACAAGTTATTTACCCCAATCTCTTCTTTTCTGATGTACAGATTGAACGCAGTAACCTTCCCTCTGGTGATAACGTGTTGGTTGAAACAGTGTGGCCGGGAAACTACTTTTAGGTTCTCTACTCTATTCTTTTGTACCAATGACTATAACTTTTTTCTACTAAGGTGTGCTCTAGATAACTCTTTTCTTTGCATTGCTGCGTTGAGCAGGCTGAGGTGTGAATATGGGTTTCCTGTAATGGCCCTATAACAAGATACTGACTGACTGGGAATGAGTGTGGGTGAGGGAAACATCATCAAACATACAGATATCTTTCACGCATGTAGATGCTGCTTTGAACTGCTATTCAGATGGAAAGATACAAATGAAAAATGAATAGAGTACATAACATTTTAAAAGGTGCATTCCGTAACATTCATACATGGAAGTAGTCCTTGTGTGGGTTATGTCTGTAGTAGTAGAAGGGGGTTGAGGTTAGAGAGGTAGGCCGGTAACCGAAGGGGAGTGTGCCGGCAACCACAGAGTTGCTGGCATCAGAACCTCATGTGCTGCCTGCTGCCGCTGTGCCCTTGAGCAAGGCACTTAATATTTTACATGATTTAGGGGCACTGCTCTGGGCTTTTTCCAGCCTCTTGTGCTTATCTTACAATGGATTGCTTCCATATTAGATGAGGTTTGACAATATACGTTTCCTGGAAGATTAGTTCTACAAAGCTATTAATGAAAAGTCTCACTTCCTTATTCCATGTAAGCTATTTCAAGGCTATGTTCCCGTGTTGTTTTAGTTGTTTTGGTGTGAAGTGATGTCTCTCTGTGCATGTAGACCAAGCTGAATAAGTCATCAAGTAAAGGTACAGGGGGGAAATGTCACTGAACAAAACTCTTTATTGAGATTTTCTAAATGCCCATTACATACAGAATATAGTATACCATGAACAAACTATCAAAAGTGTGGTTAAAAAAATAAAATGGTGTTGTCTGTTTACAAACCAGAAGTTTCAGCTTTTTTATTTGTGTTTTTTTTTAAACAGACAGCAGTGTTGTGACACTTTTTAGTTCGCACCCCAGAAAACACAGCGTAGCATTGTGGTTAGCTTGTTAAAAAGCAGATGCCCCAGTCAGGTTTCTGTCACATTCTTAGATGAAAAAAGCTGTAATATACAAACTCAAAAATGGAAGAAAAAAGTGAATCAATCTTTACATTTTTGAACAAATATAACCATATTTACAGTGCATTCGGAAAGTATTCAGACCCCTTGACTTTTTCCAAAAATTTGTTACGTTACAGCCTTATTCTAAAGTTGATTCAATAATTTTTTTCCCTTATCAATCTACACACAATACCCCATAATGACAAAGCAAAAACGGTTTTTATTGCAAGTTTATAAAAATTGAAAAATGAAATATCACATTTCCATAAGTATTCAGACTCTTTACTCAGTAGTTTGTTGATGCACCTTTGGCAGTGATTACAGCCTCAAGTATTATTGGGTACAAGCTTGGCACACCTGTATTTGGGGAGTTTCTCCCATTCTTTTCTGCAGATCCTCTGAAACTCTGTCAGGTTGGATGGGGAGCGTCGCTGCACAGCTATTTTCAGGTCTCTCCAGAGATGTTCGATCAGGTTCAAGTCCGGGCTCTGGCTGTGGCCACTCAAGGACATTCAGAGACTTGTCCCGAAGGTTGTAGTCCTGTTGGAAGGTGAACCTTCGTCCCAGTCTGAGGTCCTGAGCGATCTGGAGCAGGTTTTCATCAAGGATCTCTCTGTACTTTGCTCCGTTCATTTTTCCCTCGATCCTGACTAGTCTCCCAGTCCCTGCCGCTGAAAAACATCTCCACAGCATGATGCTGCCACCACCATGCTTCACTGTAGGGATGGTGCCAGGTTTCGTCCAGACGTGGCGCTTGGCATTCAGGCCAAAGAGTTCCATTTTTGTTTAATCAGACCAGAGAATCTTGTTTCTCATGGACTGAGAGTCCTTTAGGTGCCTTTTGGCAAACTCCAAGTGGGCTGTCATGTGCCTTTTACTGAGGAGTGGCTTCCGTCTGGCCACTCTACCATAAAGGCCTGATTGATGGAGTGCTGCAGAGATGGTTGTCCTTCTGGAAGGTTCTTCCATCTCCACAGAGGAACTCTGGAGCTCTGTCAGAGTGACCATCAGGTTCTTGGTCACCTCCCTGACCAAGGCCCTTCTCCCCCAATTGCTCAGTTTGGCCGAGCGACCAGCTCTAGGAAGAATCTTGGTGTTCCAAAATTATTCTATTTAAGAATGATGGAGGCCACTGTGTTCTTGGGGTCCTTCAATGCTGCAGAAATGTTTTGCTACCCTTCCGCAGATCTGTGCCTCGACACAAGAATGCCTCGGAGCTCTATGGACAATTCCTTCGACCTTATGGCTTGGTTTTTGCTCTGACATGCACTGTCAACTGTGGGACCTTATATAGACAGGTGTGTGCCTTTCCAAATCATGTCCAATCAATTGAATTTACCACAGGTGGACTTCAATCAAGTTGTAGAAACATCTGAAGGATGATCAATGGAAACAGGATGCATCTGAGCTCAATTTCGAGTCTCATAGCAAAGGGTCTGAATACTTATGTAAATAAGGTATTTCTGTTTTAAAAATTTCTAAAAACCTGTTTTCATTTTGTCATTATGGAGTATTGTGTGTAGATTGATGAGGGAATCCATTTTAGAATAAGGCTGTAAAATATGGAAAAAGGGAAGGGGTCTGAATACTTTCCGAATGCACTGTACATACTTTTTTCACACTTCACACAATGCCACATGAGGACTCAACTAACACTCTTTAATGGGATCTATCAACAAAGGCATGTAAAGATACAAAAGAGCAGCTGATAACTACTGTATCTACTGTCAGCATAGATTCACAGCTAGGGTGGCTGAGTGCCACACTTTCAAAGTGTCAAGAAATCCCCCTTTCATTTGTTTGTAGTTTTTCCTTACATCTTTTACTACCTTTTCTCTTCTCAGAGTTTTTATATTTGAATTGTGCCTGTATACAAGTCAAACTACAGCAATCTTGTAGATGTTATTTCAGAAGACTTGGAATAGACTGAGCTTCTTCGTTCAGACCACTCACTAGCATAAGGCCTGGCGAAGCACATTGGCATCCATTTTCTTAGTAACTTCAGGACATTACTCATGAATTTCTGCCCTACAAAGGCGTAGATGATCGGATTCAAACAACAGTGTGTGAACGCTATCACCTCTGTCCACTGCATTGCCAGATCTATGTTCTTGTGAATTGTACAGTCCCCAAAATAGTTCTGTGTCTCCAGATAACGCAGGAGAATTACAACATTGTATGGGGTCCAAAAGCAGAAAAAGACCACTACTATGATGAATATCAGTTTAATGGCTTTGTGCTTTTTAGTGCTTTTGATATTAACTAACATCAGAACGATCCTAGAATAGCAGATCACCATGACGAAGAGGGGGAGAAGTAGACCCAAGACATTCATCTCTAAATAAGAAACCTGACGCCACATGCTACCCTCTGGATACTCTGGTTTACATGTTGTAAACCCGGACTCATTTTTTACTTTTGTGAAGATGATTGTAGGCAAAGAGGCACAGAGACTGAGAGCCCACATGAACAGAGACAGAGCGACCCCTACTCTGACTGATCTGTACTTGGCCATGGTGTGAGCGTGGACTATGACCACATAGCGATCCACTGTCAAGATCAACATGAAGAAGATGCTGCCATAAAACCCCAGCATGTACAGTCCGGTTACCAGTCGGCACATAAAGTCCCCCATGAGCCACTCGGCTGCGGTGGCGTAGTGGGACCAGAAAGGCAGGGAGGATGACGAAGAGAAGGTCGGACAGAGCCAGGTTGAAGAGACAGAGGTCTGTCATGCTGCTGGCCCTCCTGAACTTCACCAGGACACAGACCACCAGGCCGTTACCGATGACGCCCACGATGAAAACCAGGCTGTAGAGTGTAGGCAGAAACACCCGTCCAAACGCCTTCACATTGCCATTGTTGCATGGCTGACCCTCTGATGTATATGACCCTTGTGTGTCATTGTAGTAGTCTGAATAGTCATATTCTGTTAGCTCAATATCCTCGTCTGTAGAAAGACAGAAATAGTATTGTTATTAGTCAAGGTGGTGTGCTTTCACTCAAAATCAACCTGAATAGTCAAAGTGGCAATCTGCAGTTCAAACAATAAAAAAGGGTGCACCCCACCACTGTTTGGGTAAACAGCTGAGGGATGGGGCTGGAGAAATGTAACCACCAATTATAATTATAATTTTGGGGGGAGGTTCTTATATTAGTCCTGTTACACACTTGTGGGTGTTTACTTGTTCAAGTTTGTAATGGAAATGTGTTTCTTGCATATCCCAACTCCCCCTAAGACACCCGCAGGGAGTGGGTCATGGCCAGGGTCAACATTGTCCAACGCCCCTGGAGCAATTGGGGTTAAGTGCCTTGCTCAAGGGCACTGCGACAGATTTTTAACCTTGTTGGCTCCATATTCATATACAGTGCATTCGGAAAGTATTCAGACCCCTTGACTTTTTCCACATTTTGTTACGTTACAGCCTTATTATAAAATTGATTAAATGATTTACACACAATACCCCATAACGACAAAGCAAAAATAGGTTTTTAGAAATGTTTGCAAATATATAAAAAATAAAAAAACGGAAATATCACATTTACATAAGTATTCAGACCCTTTACATAGTACTTTATGAAGCACCTTTGGCAGCGATTACAGCCTCAAGTCTTCTTGGGTATGATGCTACAAGCTTGGCAAACCTGTATTTGGGGATCCTCTCAAGCTCTGTCAGGCTGGATGGGGAGCGTCGCTGCACAGTTATTTTCAGGTCTCTCCAGAGATGTCGTTGTCCTGTTGGAAGGTGAACCTTCACCCCAGTCTGAGGTCCTGAGTTCTCTGGATCAGGTTTTCATCAATGATCTCTCTGTACTTTGCTCCGTTCATCTTCCCCTCAATCCTGACTAGTCTCCCAGTCCCTGCCTCTGAAAAACATCCCCACAGCATGATGCTGCCTCCACCATGCTTCACAGTAGGGATGGTGCCAGGTTTCCTCCAGAAATGACGCTTGGCACTCAGGCGAAAGAGTTCAATCTTGGTTTCATCAGACCAGATAATCTTGTTTCTCATGGTCTGAGAGTCCTTTTGGCAAACTCCAAGCAGTCTGTCATGTGCCTTTTACTGAGGAGTGGCTTCCGTCTGGCCACTCTACCATAATGGCCTGATTGGTGGAGTGCTGCAGAGATGGTTGTCCTTCTGGAGGTTCTCCCATCTCCACAGAGAAACACTGGAGCTCTGTCAGAGTGACCATCGGGTTCTTGGTCACCTCCCTGACCAAGGCCCTTCTCCCCCAATTGCTCAGTTTGGCCGGGCGGCCAGCTCTAGGAAGAGTTTTGGTGGTTCTAAACATCTTTCATTTAAGAATGATGGAGGCCACTCTTATCTTGGGAACCTTCAATGCTGCAGAATTTGTTTTGATACTCTTCCCCAGATCTGTGCCTCGAAACAATCCTGTCTCTGAGCTCTAGGGACAATTCCTTAGACCTCATGGCTTGGTTTTTGCTCTGACATGCACTGTCAACTGTGGGACCTTATATAGACAGGTGTGTGCCTTTCCAAATCATGTCCAATCAATTGAATTTACCACAGGTGGACTCCAATCAAGTTGTACAAACATCTCAAGGATGATCAATGGAAACAGGATGCACCTGAGCTCAATTTCAAGTTTCATAGCAAAGGGTCTGAATACTTATGTAAATAAGGTATTTCTGTTTTTTATTTGTAATAAATTTGCAAACATTGTAATACATTTGCATAAATTTGCAAACACTTTAAACCTGTTTTCCCTTTGTCATTATGGGGTATTGTGTTTAGATTGATGAGGATTATTTAAAAAACAATCAATTTTAGAATAAGGCTGTAACGTAACAAAATGTGGAAAAAGTCAAGAAGTCTGAATACTTTCCAAATGCACTGTACATACTGTAGCTATGGAATCATTCAAGGACTGACCATCCATGAGATCAACATTAAAGTTTTGAACATGTTTTTAAGCTATACAATGTTTGTTTACAATTACATTGTTTACAAACAATGGAGTGAAACAATCTTACATTTTAGATTTCTGTTGGAGTACAACAGTTTAACTGAATAATAAATTATACTCTCTACAAATCAATGGTTATATATAATTAACTTAAAGTAAAAAAATGGATGTGTCAATCACAAATTTCCCCTTTAAGTTGTTCCTTTGAAATATTATCATTGTAATGAATATTCATCAAAACAAACAAACAAACAAACAAGTAAACACACAAACACAGTCGTCATGCCTATAGGCACCACAGGGGCACATGCCCCCTCAGATTTGTCATGTTTTATTTATTTTTTAAATGTTAAATTTGTTTGTTTGTTTCTCTGTAATACTACTAGCTACCTAGCAATTTTATGAAGTTGGCTTTAGCTAGTCCAGATAGTTCCTTATGTCCCAACCTCATAACTAGCTACCAAGAAGCCATTTCAGGCTATCAATCAAGTTAGAGTAGCTAACTTGTTGAACTATATTAGCTGGCATGCCTGCTGGCAAGGTTGGTAGACTTTAGAAAAGCAAGCAATAACTAAATGTAGTAAATAAGACTCACATTCCTTTCAGTCTTTTACACAGATTTCAGCAGAAAAGCATATTTCGTTTTTATACAGGCTGATTATACAGATTATGGGGCTGCTCTGACACCTTCAGGTGCTTACATGTGTTTACTGCACAGTCAAAGAAATCTAGAAAGTCATAGCCAGGGCTCTCCAACCCTGTTCCTGGAGAGCTACCGTCTCTTAGGTTTTTTTTCGCTCCAACCCTAATCTAGCACACCTGATTCTAATAATTAGCTGGTTGATAAACTGAATCAGGTTAGTTACAACTGGGGTTGGATTGAAAACCTAAAGGAGGGTAGCTCTCCAGGAACAGGGTTGGAGAGCCCTGTAAGTAGTCTATACTAGAGAGTGCACATAAGTTCATACTAGAAGTTTATACTATATTATTAGCAAAAGTTTTAAATTAGGTCACAAATTGAGTACGGTAATCCAACGTCTATCTTTTTCAACTCTATTCATCACTTCAAATAATTATATAATTTTTGTTCATTTTTTAATGCAAACAATTTCACAAGCATAAATAATTGTTGTGTTACCTCTTAGAAATAGGTATAGATTTTGTATCTTCAATAGGTTTCTAGATGTTGACAAAACGTACTCACCTGACATGATTAATGATCAATTAGCTCTTTGGTGTTTCTTCTCTGAGTCTCTTGAAGATTTGTGCATTTATCCTGTTGTACAGTAGCCTATAGTACTGCTGCTGCAGTTTCCCCCACCTCCCTTATAAGGAGGTACTGTGAACTTATTATAATGAAGTTGGGTTTGTTTCACATGGGTATTTTTAGACTCTGAGGTTTGGTTGCACACTCTTAGAACAAAAAGGTGCTATCTAGAACCTAAAACGGTTCTTTGGCTGTCCCCATAGGAGAACCCTTTGAAGAACCCTTTTTGATTCCAGGTAGAACCCTTTTGGTTCCAGGTAGAACCTTTTTGGTTTCCATGCAAACTCAAAATTAAAGACGTTTCAACTCTATATCTGACATGGTACAGGTTTCTTCTTTTTTTTAAGCCCATAACCATGTGTGTGAGGTGTATGCTTTTGTTTCAAAGTAGATTTGTTTAAGACTACCAAGAAACACTCGGTGTGACCCTGATTTAGCCCACTACAGTAATTCATGTAAATCAAGTATTTTACACACACACACACACATTTTGTTTCTCTCCTCTTTACTACAGTATTATCCCAGTGGAAAGGGGGTAGGCTACAGCATTTGTGATTTGAAGTCACACAGTGACCTCCTGTGGGCAGAGTTTATGTGACAAAGATGTAACTTCATCACTATTCATTAATAACAGTATGATAATTACACCCTACATATTGTTAAAATTGAACGTGACTTCCTGCAATCCTCAAACAGATCGATCCATATCTGATCTGAAGACTAAAATCATTCCATCATCTTTGCAGTAAGTCCTGTATGACCTTTGTGCAATGATAAGTATATAACACTAGAATTACATTATTATAAAGTTAGAAATAATTGTTGAGTTTGTGTTCATTTCAGTTTTTTTATTTGAACAGTGAAATATCAACGTTCTCAAGATATTCTTGGACGATCAGCAATGGCTGTTGTTGCGTGCAAAGAAATGGGGTGGGGTTTAAGTGAATAAATTATAGCAAGGGATGCTGGGATCCAGGGTTTAAATTCAAATAGTAGGATTTTCAGTAGGATGAAGCAATGATTTATGGAATTGGCAGCTGTGAGTTCTTCATGATCGATGGGTTCGTTTAACTCAATACATATAACGTTTTAATTAATATGCTCATCATTCCCAGATAGTATCTTTTTACAGCCTGCCAATGAAATTGGCTCTTTCTATACACAGGGCTACATTAAACTATTCCCATATTACACGTTTTTAATTGCATAGTTTTATCTAATTAATTTATAAACAGCTATCAAAACGTGAGTGTGTTTTAAGTTAAATGTGGGTCTCAGTAAAACAATTTTTTTTTGCCTGGTATGAAAACTGTCGCCTTGTGTGGGTCCCAGTCCTACCGCTCGCTCGCCTTCTGGAGCTGGCAACAAGTGGCAGTGAATTCCCAATGAGCATGATTGACATTAAAGTGCTGACGAAGGCGGGCTCGGACTTCAACAGGGACAACAGGCATATACACGGATTATAACGAAATCGCTTTGCAATGACCTGCTATGAGAATATGAAAATGAATTGAAACAATGTTTGAGTCGACGTAAGTACATTATTCTACCTATCACACCGTGAATGTTTATGCGGTTACTTTGTATTTCTGCGCTGCGATTTTTTGTTGTGTAGCCAACTGTTACCATGTTGCAGGACTTTAGTTTGCAAATGACTATCAAATTTGAGCAGTCACTTTTGTATGGACCTGTAAATCCTATTTTGCAATTCATGTGAAACCAATGTGTAAAACAACATTTTTAAATAGCCTAGCCTACTGACATTTTGTTGACTGCATAACCAAACAAAATTCTCAACTATTGTTTCATTAGAAAAATAGCACCCATATTTTGTTTAAGAATGATAAATTATCAAACATATGATACAATAACACTTTTTGTTTTGTTTTTGTCCTTCTATCGGTTATTTGGATATCAATGGGTTTAGATATCAATAGAGCTTTGGTGTCCTTGATGACAGGACAAAAGGAAAATATTGAGGATAGCCAAACATTTACCATTGAAGTTGGATATCAGCAAAAACAAGATGGACTTTGGAGAAGTCAACACAGCCACAAAACCTCCAATAGGGTAAGTGTGGGGAATTTGAGGTCTCTAATAACTGTTGTTTGTCTTTCCCACTCCAAATGTGTATATGCATAAGTATTATGTTGTGATAACTGTTCAAACAATCCAATTATCATAATATTGAGGAATGGGGATGGAGACAGACTTGGTCATAAGGTGACTTGATACAAGAGAAACATGGAGAGTGCCTATTTGCCACCTGGCAGGCCTTTGCATTGCATGAAGCTCATTCATGATTGGACAGTCAGTCTTACTGTAGCTCTGTCAAATATATACTGAACAAAAATATTTCAACGATTTTACTGAGTTACAGTACATATAAGGAAATCAGTCAATTTAAATAAATTCATTAGGCCCTAATCTATGGATTTCACATGTGACTGGGCAGGGGTGCAGCCATGGGGGGGCCTGGGAGGGGATAGGCCCACCCACTTGGGAGACTGGCCCAGCTACTGGGGAGCAAGGTCCAGCCAATCAGAATGAGTCTTTCCCTACAAAAGGGATTTATTACAGACAGAAATACTCCTCAGTTTCATCAGCTGTCCGGGTGGCTGGTCTCAGACGATCCCGCAGGTGAAGAAGCCAGATGTGGAGGTCCTGCGCTGACATGGTTAAACGTGGTCTGCGGTTGTGAGGCTGGTTGGATGTACTGCCAAATTCTCTAAAACGACGTTGGAGGCGGCTTATGGTAGAGAAATGAACATTAAATTATCTGGCAACGGTTCTCTGGCCAATTGCACGCTCCCTCAAAACTTGAGACATCTGTGGCATTGTGTTGTGTGACAAAAAAAGCTTGTGCTGGGGCCTTTTATTGTCCAGCACAAGGTGCACCTGTGTAATGATCATGCTATTTAATCAGATTCTTGATATGCCACACCTGTCAGGTGGATGGATTATCTTGGTAAAGGGGAAATGCTCACTAACAGGGTTGTAAACAAATTTGTGCGCAACATTTTAGAGAAATAAGCTGCTTGTGTGTATGGAACATTTCTGGGATCTTTTATTTCAGCTCATGAAACATGGGACCAACAATTTCCATGTTGCGTTTATGTTTTTGTTCAGTGTGTATATATATATATGAGGCTATATTCTTTTTAAAAAAAAGATCACTTCATGAATTGTTGTAAGCATCAAAAACAGTCTTTCGCTCTCTGTAGTTGATGTAGTTGTCAGCAGACACTTCAAAAGCCATAACATACAGTACTGTATGTATTGACAGGCAGAGAATTCCAGTGTAGTTTAATTCAATGGAAAATACTTGCATGACCGCTGATTGGAAAACAACTGTGGGCCAGCCCACAACAGAAGCTTTTGTGCAATGGCAGTTACTGAATTTGTACTGTCTCTGTAGTTCTTTTGTCACCACTGTTGTTGTTGACTCAATATGCTGCTGCTCCTTCCCATTGGCAATGGCAACACAAAACATCAGCTCTAAAACTGCTGGGTTACACTGTTTAGGCACTTTAAATCTATTCTAATCTAAACAATGACATCATACAGTGTAATGCAAATCTTCTTACAGATGTAAATTGGACAGTTCAGTATTGTATGGGATGGTTTTATAGTTATTATTCTGTATCTTTTTGTGCAGAAACACGTTCTATCCTTCAGGTGTCATAATGTGGTATCATCTATTTACTGGTGTTGTTGTGGGAGGCTGAAGTCCACAACCCTTATTACCTGAAAGTAAACCAGATCCTTTGTATTTTGCACCCATGGCCCTGCATCTCCTCCTCCCTGCTGAAGGCTTTTATATAATCACCTCCTATGACATGCTGCAGAAAGCACATGACGAATAGTGGTTATTTAAAGACAGCAGTTGCTGAACATGCCCATCTGCTCTGCCTGTCCCTCTGGAGACCAGTGGTGCCATTTAGGTGTCATTTCCTTGGTTGTTCCCATTGACTGAACATTTTTCAAATTTATTTTTCAAGTGAGCCCTGGCCAAGAAAAGCAGTAGTTGGGTCGTTCCATCGATTAGGTGCCTTTAGAGTAGTGTAACTTGGTGATTTTTATTTATTTGTTATTTCACAAAATGTATTTTACTCCTGAGTGGCGCAGTGGTCTAAGGCACTGCATCGCAGTGCTAACTGTGCCACTAGATCCTGGTTCGAATCCAGGCTCTGTCGCAGCCGGCCGCGACCGGGAGATTCATGGGCGGCGCACAATTGGCCCAGCGTCGTCCAGGGTAGGGGAGGGAATGGCCGGCAGGGATGTAGCTCAGTTGATAGAGCATGGCGTTTGCAACGCCAGGGTTGTGCCAGTATAAAAAAAATATGTATTCACTAACTGTAAGTCGCTCTGGATAAGAGCGTCTGCTAAATGACTAAAATGTAAATGTATTTTCTGTCATTAAGAGCACTTGTTCAACTTAATAAAAAACATGTTTCCCATCTCAAGAAATCAAATAAAATAAAATAAAATTTTATTGGTCACATGCGCCGAATACAACAGGTGCAGACATTACAGCAGTGGCGGCTCCTGAAAAAATTCTCAGGAGGGGCAATTTTTCTGATGATTTAGGTGACCTACACACATTTTAAAAAAGATATGTCCAGCAACAACATGAAGACAGGGGCAGCATATAAGTCAATACCAGAAGCATTTATTGACTGATCTGGGGAGATGGATTCCAGTTTCTGTGACAGATTATAAATAATCTCTGATGCCTTTGTTATATTAGCTTTTGGTTGAATGTACTGTCGTAGTAAATATATAATGTTATAGCTTGGTCTGACTAAAATCTTGTGCATGACCCATTTTGTGTTGGGCGTTTGTTTTCAATCAATGCTGTTCCTATCCTATAACAATGGACAAAAGAGTCCTATCTTGTCAGCCTTGTCAGCAGGTGGCCAAGGACAACACCCACGCCATAGG